AAATAAAAAAAATCAGTGACAAAAACAAGGAATGGCTTCAGTTAAGTGATGATCTCAAAGGGCATGTATTTATTAATTCAGTCAAAGTACAGCGTAAAGGCAACTGAACAAAGTGCCACATGTTATGCTATAGTCTGTCTCATTGTATCTTGGAAGAATTACTCTTTGATATCTTTAAAAATTATTCCAGACTCCTTGGGGAGAGGGGAGGAATACATAAAACCATGTGGAAACATTTTTGAGATGCAAAGCTTCAAACAGCAGGACACCAAACATAAGTTGATACATTAGGCTTAAAACCAATTTTGAACAAAAAAACCCTCCTCCTATTTCAGTAAAGAGCTTTAAAAGACTTATGCTTCATGCATAGATGGGAAAAGAAACATGGCCACAAATCTCCAAGAGCACTGTCTTGACATTTTCCTAGCTTGCTTTCACGGGTTGCATGAGCTTCTGGTAAAACTATTTAACTGATCTGAAACTGAAAAGAAAAAAACAGATATACAGAAGTGGCTCAAAAGAGAGTGTTTAGAGGTCTATGACAGCATAAAGCCGTAGGTATTTCATTGGAATGGAAAAAGAGATCTAGACTAATGCTTATTCAGAAGTGAGGCTAAGGAAAACCTTGTTGAAACTGTGAGGATCATTTGAAAAACTCCTTGGTTCAGCTTTGGTTAAAAAGCATGCAAAAAATAAGTGTGTTTTGTCTTAGATGAAATATGTTTGATGAGCTATAGTTACAGTTCATTAGGACTGAAGCATTCTGGCATTGAATGGACCCTTGTGAAATACCATTCAAAACAACCATTCGCGATGGAGAGAGACGGGGCATTTATTATCCCATGATGATTATCTTCAACATACTGGTTACAACAATCAGAGTAAAATTTTAGTAACTTCACTTCTAGGAGTTTTCTCACGGAGGGTGTTGTCAGGGAAGCTAGACTATCCCAAAGAGCGGAGTATGGGAACTAATATTGTTTCATCCCTTTGATTTGATAGAAAAGAAATTCTAGTTTTGATTCTGATCAGAGGTCAATTAAAAGTTTAAAATGTTCATAAAATGTTCAAATAATGTTTAGAATCTTCATAAGGTTAGTGTATTAGCTTCAATTAATCCTACCTCATATTCTTTAAAAAGGAAAGGTGTTGTTTGGAAAAATACTACATTGCCCTCCAATTAATCTTCTCATCTTTCCTCCCCTTCAACCATTACACAGAAGATAGTCATAACGTACTTCTAATGACCTGGAATGGGATGACTTTTGGGCCTTGCAGCTGGAAGTGTGTGCACACCTCCTCCCCAACACTACCGGATCAGCACTAGAATTAGGAGGTTAATTACATGCCACTAAGACAAATGTCACAAACTGGACAAATTGTGCTGCTTTTTCTGCATAAAAAGCAAAATCTGGTAGTTGACAGAACCTGAGTTCTGCCTATACATGGCACATCCCACGGAAATTACTGTGGAAGTCTCTATGTGATCGCACGGTGCTTTGGATGTAGTTCCCTTTTATTTTTCAGCACCTCTGCATCTCACAAACTGCATGACTGCCTTCCTACTCTGAGTAAGAGATATCTTTTTTAAGCAGAACACAGAGCTTTGTAAATGTCAATACAGTCAGAGAATAACTTGTATTAAAACAATCCCATATGAATGCACTAATTGTTACGTTCAAAACACCATCTAGTAATATTTTAAAGTAAAATCAATAGAAACTATAAATTATAAAACATCTGATGAGCTAGTATCGCTTATTAAATTTTAAAATATGAATTAATATTAGGTAAAGAATAATTGCACTTAATAGATTTCCTCTGGAAAAGCTAGAACAAGTAATCTCTTTATAACAAAGGTTTTAAAATAACTTCATTTTCACATGCATGCCCTTCATCACCAAATTTAAAACTTTTTTCCTGCTCTTAATTCAACAGTCTGGTTTTGGTTTTGACTCCCTCAGGAGCAAGATATTGCACTTTATGGTTAAAATTTATATTACGCTTCTAGGCTGTGCTTTCACTGAACCTGAGGCTAAAACCTAGCAAACACACGCATAAATCCTTGCTCACAAAGGTCTACTATGTATTGACTATTCAAATACTAACTATATACTTCACTGATTTGTTTCAAACTGTTTTAAATTATGGAATTTCTGAAAATTAGAATCTATTCTTAAATATAGCTTCTTTTGATCAGTTGTATTTCATGCAAATGTGGAGTTGGGTTATACTTTATTAATATCTATCAGAGAAGTATAAGATTCAAAGTTTGCTACTCAAGGCAGAGACTAGAATTGTTTTCCCAAAAGTGGACATTTTCATTCGAATAGGAAAAAAATATGATTCTGTGCCTGGAGAAGTTTAGCCAAATTAATTCCTGCAAAAAAAGCTTCAGATTAATCAATTTTTTTTTTCCCAAGAATATAACTGTTTCAAAAATAATTCTCAAAGAATCTAATAATGTGGAATATCAATGTCCTAGAAACAGATTAATTAACACAAAGTGTTATTGCTACATTAATTCACTTACTTCTGCAGGTATTTAGTCATGTTCCTTTGTAACAGTTTCTGAGCAGTTGTGATTTATTTGCAAAAATAATTAAAAATATGTGTTTTGTCTCATATTGTAGATCTACCATGTACCATTTATGCCTGAGGCATTTGCTCATCTGTCCAAATCAAAGAACAAAAACATTGTGGTGCTGTATGTTTGTGTAATTTTAGCTGTTGATTTGTCTGTGTGGGAATATCTATCTGCACTGCTGTATCAGTGCAACTCCCACATGTATACTCTTACTGCAAACAGCATCCTCTCATGGAATAACTAACATGAAAAGGTCACCAATCTTCCCATTAAGAGTTTTCATACAGAAAGTTACCCTGGCATAGCTATTACTGCAGAAATAACCATGGTACATTTTTAGACGACAACAAACCCTGAAACATTAGGACTGCAACAATAAAATGAATGGCTAAAAATTAGGTGCAGCTCATTCAATCAACCACAAGTAAGTACATGATTTGCGTTTGAAATGTATCTGATCTAGTATTTGAAAAAATACTGGTGTAAAAGCTGGTATTGATAACGGGAGGATTCAAGGAGATTATGAACATTTAGGAATATTCCGTGGTGGATAGTCAATTTAAATGAATACAAAACCAAACAATGTCACCTGGCATTCCAAAAGGCAAGGCCTCCTGAGGAACTGAATACAGAATCTACAGGCTTTTGTGAAACCGTTGAAATTTCAGCTGGTAAAGTCTAACAGAGATCTGTAGTGGAGCCCAGGTGGCTGTCTTATAAATTCCACTTCTCTCCTTTTACCCATTTCAGCTGATGTATCTGCTTAGCTTGGCCAGCTCACAGTTACGGGCTTTCACAAAAACAGCAGTGATGTTCAAAATGCAAAAAGGGAGTCCATATCTTCATGAGACGCTCCACTGGTCACAACAGGAGTGATGGTTTTACAATGCACAACCATAGCAAGATTTGTCTTGAAAATTACCACAGTGTATTCATATATGCCTCTCAATTTTGCCTCTAAAAAATGTGCATACTTAAACCAATACCATAAAGGGGAAAAAAGGGTGCTTTTTTTCTTTCCTATTAAAAATATATATCCTTTTGTAACTGAGACTTCTGTTGAACAGCTGCAATAGGTTTCTATTGATACTTTTCACAAAAATTTCTGAACTGACAGATGTCTCAAGAAATGGATAGTTAAAGGCTGATGCTTTATAATTATAATATATATTCCTCCTCAGGGGTGTGTTACTACTCTACAGTTCTTTCCCAAACTCTTCCTTTCTGTTTCGCAGTGGTTTTTCTCATCTCAGTCATGCTTTCTGTCCATTCCACTACTATCTTCATGTTAAAAGATCCCTTTTGCTTCTTTCTCTATTCAGTGCTAGTCTTAAATATTCTCCCTCTCTCACATTCTACTCTTGGCTTTGTTCTCCATCCTTTCATTTATTATTCTCCACCGTACTCTAATTACTTATATTGCTCCCAAGTTGTACGTTAGTGTTGTAAACAGTGTTCAATCCTTGCTTGCCGTCTTCCTTTCTTCATTCACTTTCTTTACCTTTTCTCCTTTGGTCCTCTGGAGACCTTTACTTCTTTTAACAAGCCACTATAAAGTGACTCCCTATTCATTTGATGTTTTAGCTCACCGAGTTTATATAACTCAATGCCATTTCAAATATGTTAAGCTGTTTAGGGGCATTCTTCTTTGGTATATTGTCTTCTTTTTCTTTAAATACTCCCAAGCCAATTGATTGCCAATTAATTAGAAATAGTTAAACTTTGCAATAGAATAAACACTACATGTCTGCATCTCTTGGGGAGCTCCTAAACTAATTTTTATGACTGTGCTGTTAACTGTTTTCACTGCTTGGCAGCCTGTCAATGGAAATAAAAGTTTGCTGAGCAGATATCCTGGTCATAGTTTGCAGAATGTTTTCTTTGAGCAGGATGCTTCTGCACCTGCTCTTCTTTCCGTCATTTCTTGTCTCCAGGCTGTACTCTCTTTAAAGATGTCAGTTTTGGGGGTCATGCAGATGACTATGCTTCACCAGCATAAAGACAGATAAAATACTAGCACAAACACTGATTTTTTTTGAACTCCTGATTGGTTTTGACCTGGTTTGTCATGTGAAGCCCAATGTGCCAGCTTAACCAAGTAAGAAGCAAAAACGAAAGATCATGTGGCAGAGAAGATTTTGAACTACTACTGAATAAGTATATCGCCTACTGACTCCAGACTAAGCAAAAAAACCCACAACAAACAAACAAACAAACAAAAAACCAAAAAAACCCACCCAAACAAAAAACACCCAAACCAAAAGGAAGTAGAGCAGACAAAAGAGAAAAGAACACTGATGGCTATTTAACATGTGTTATACACAAAATAAACTTGGTTAAAATGATTTTTTTAAAAAATTAGTCTGCAAGGCATGGTTACCATGATGCCGGTGTAATCATAAATTATTCATACCTGATGATGTTGGTTCTTCTTCAAGCGAGGCTGTGCAAAAAGGCAGCAGGGGTGGAGGGAGGCAGGGACAGGGAAAGGGAAGGAGAAGGGAAGAGAAGGGAGAGGGGGAAAAATACAGATGAAGAAATCCATATTGTTCTAATTGTTGTATTATTTACATTTTCTTAATATATGAGCAATATGACACCATGAAAAACTTTATCCTAAATAGTTTGATCAACTTGAGTAACAAATGTTTCACCTTAGTGGAGAACTAAGATAAAATAAGTTAAAATCTTAGCTTACATGTATACCATTACATTCTTAACCTCTTCCTCATATCTACCTAGCAGGATAGGCCAAATACTGCAAATTAAATGCTCAACAGAAGAGTTTCAGTCAACTTCTCTGCAGTCAAACTCACTGCCAATGCTAGCTGTTGCAGTACTAAAAAGGAGCTGTTTGTAAATCAAAGCCTGATAAAAAAATCTACTGCAGGACCCAGTTATTTGGTTTGCTGATGAAAACTGTTATCTAACAACACAGCTAAGGCAGTCAGAAGAGGCATGGTCCACAACTTTCTTCCATCTAGCCATCTGTTTTCTTCACTTTCTTCCCAAAGTGATGCAGGTAGTAATGAATTAATGATCCTGAAATTAAGTAGTTATGGGGCAAAAGTGGCAGTTTTGGGGTTAGGCTTTGTTCTTCTGGTAGGGTTGGGGCAGGGGGCAATTGCCTGTTGTACTCTCCATTCCAGATGTTTTTTGTTTGAGGAAAGCAATAAAAATCCGTATCCATATTAGAACCTTTCCGTTCTGGTCATAGATAGCCATTAAATTGCCTCAAGTTACCATCAGAAATCACCTTTGACTTTAGACTATCTATTACCCATACATTCAAAAGAAAGAAACAGACATATTCACAGCAAAATTGTATTTTAACAGTACATCAGTGACCTAGTTCTTTCTCTCCTTGCAGTCAGTGTGTTTTATATACACATGCATCACAAAAATGTTCTTCTCACAGTCTTGCAAAGTTTTCAATGACAGAAACAGCAGCAGTCAAGTGTTTCTCACTTGTATACTCTAAAAGCACCGAGAAGTCTGAGAGGACTCTCCATAAATGTGATATAGAGACCCTCTTAGATACTAAACACAGGTTTACTAACTTTTGTTTTTTTCTCTTTTAAGGAGTATCTTCTACCAGTTAAATGGAAGCTCCTTCTGTTTGATTTCTTGCAGAATCAGCTCCGTACAAACAGCACTCCTACAGCCATGGCAAACATTGATCCACCCTGACGGCTTCAGAGCTTGCACTTGGCATGGATAAAGATTTCAAACATTTTCTCAAAGATCAGTGCCATGCTTGGGAATTGAACTTCTTTGCCTTCAGTATCACTCCATGCATTATGCTGTGAGAAATTAGGAACGGAGCAGGAAGATCTTTCATCTTTTTAATGAAACTTCATCAGACATAGCAGAGACCTTGTCAATAGACACCAACTGCATTTGAGACCAACTATAAACCTTGGTTAATTCGGTACAATATTCTATATGCAACTGTATGTGACAATTAACATTGGACACATCAGTTATTTCTAATTGCAGAGCAGCATGGTGTCCTTTTGGGCGATGACAAATCCAATCAATAGCAAATAATGAATTACTGTCTGGAGCACCAACCAACCGTCTTGTCTCTAACTAGTTTCCTACGGTAAATAGGTGATTTTTATTTATATAACTTAGTGTTCAGAAAAATACTTAAGAAGTGACATTAGAAGAACAGTACATTATGAAACACATAATATAAAATGGCCTAAACAGGATACCTAACAGGCTAACCCTTCCCTTTTGTAACTCCTCATTTAATGTCTAGATGTGTATTTTGAAACGAGATTAATCCATTTTGAGTTGTGTATATGTAAAGATCGCATCAAGGTTTTAAATGTTACAATAACTTTTTTTTTTTTTTTTTACTCTATAATTACTGCACTTATGTAAAATGTCTTTGTAACAGTAAAGGATTTCAAGACAATGAAATAACATCCTATTGCTTTTAAACTGAACAAATCAGATACATCATTAGTTCAATACCAACATAACAGATGATTCCACAAAAAAGAAACTGACTAAATCTTAAGAACTCCAGAATCGGAAGTAAACAGGCAAACTACAAACTAAGTCAATCAAGCATGTTGCAATTTCTCAAGGTACCAGAGAGGACTACACAAACAGAACAGAATATGGTAGTTAGAAGTTGTGTTATTAAATTTTACAGATGTTCAAAATCTGTATTAGCTGCAAGCTCAACTCCTGCTTGAGCAACAAGTAATTAAAAGTACTATTGACTGTGCATTAAAACTGATTAAACAAAATTGTCCAAATACACAAAGAATATTAATTCCAGTGACAATTTTTTTTCAGACTGCTGTTTGAATAATATTCTTAGACTTAATTATTGGGATGAATACCAGCATTAGCAATTCAAAACTGGATTCTGTTATTAGTCTGATGGTTGTTTCAGTGTGACTGCTCTGCACTTAGGTACACATCTAAACAAAACAGGATAGCTGGATTTCAGCTGAAATAAATCATTCAGATGCTAAGGCAGCAATGCCAAATCCATTACTTTTCTGCTTATTTAATTAATTTTGATTTGTTTGCTAGTTTAGGCTCTTTCAGGGATAGGCTATGTTTATTTCTTGTCTGAGCTAGTGAGAACTGCTTTTGTAAAATGCAAAAGACCTGCTTGTCAATACTGTATTTCCTAACTGTAGACAGAAATTAAAGATGCATATTAAAAAGTGATACAAAAAGCAGTTATGAACTTGTTTGTACTTCATGCACATTTAAAAAAAAATCAAATTAACTTAATATCTTGCTGTATGTGACAGAACTTCTTTCACCCACCATTGCTTGATAAACCATGTTTAACAAAACAGCCTTCAGTAAGCTATTGAATACTCAAAGAATACACTATTTTTGCTTTTCCATACCAGCTCAAATGCAGTGTCAGCTCTCTGCTTTCCACTCATAAAGTAAATGCACTAAATTACCACACCAAAAATTTCCTATACAACACCACTTTTTTTTTTTTTTTTTTCCCCCCCATCAGCAGTGATTTAAAACTTGAAGTTATTTTAAAAAGCTATTTATACAGTGACTCATCTCCATAGTAATTATCTGCAATTTACTTTCTTTACTTATTTCAGAGGGGTGGAGAGAGAGTAAGCTGGAATTGCCTTGCTCAACTGAGCTGGCAGAAGCTAGTGACTCACTACACTGTGTGGTGGATCACCATCAGCTTGGCTTTCTCCTTCTGACTCCAGAATGGTGAGACTCACACAGATGAGCTAGGTATTTGATAAAAACAAACAAACAAAAAAACCCCACCACTCACAGACATCCCCAAGTTAAGGTCTGAAAACAGCATAGCATGACCTTAAACATTAAACTACTGTCTATATTTAAAGCATTTTCAAGAACATTTTAATGCATCTTTGACATGATGTAGTAAGACATATGGCAGCACAAACATTTGTTTTTATCTTCTTAGAGAAAAATCTCATATTCACTTGTGAAAACTTATTCATATTTTCCTTAGAGGTGAATAATACTGCAACACTGCAATATTGTTGGGGAAAAAACCTCAAGACATGTGAAGATTTGGAAAGCATGTACCAGGATACATATTGTCTAAAAGGTATTAGCTTAAGAGAGATAATGTGAGAAACCAATGCTTGAATAGTAACTGAATACCTATGCCCAAGTTCTGATTATTTCTGTGACAGTGGTAGAAGCTTGGGTATAGGTCTGGAAAAAATCTGAACTTTCAATCATGGTAACCTGAAGAAGGCAGATTCAGTGTAACAGTGTGCCGTACTACGTTATATACTATGACACATTACATTAGTTTTGTGTTTACACTAAGGCTTGTGTTAATTTTACATTAATGTGAAATATGTTTGCCTTTAACATTCAAATAAAACAACTCATATATAAAAGAATAAACTTAGATATATGACATTATCTCTATAGAAAAGGCTATGTAAGAGCTCTACAACATTATCCAAATGAACCACCTGTGAACAGTAGAATCCAAGAGCAAAGTAATATTTTTCTGAAGGCATCAAAAATAAATTATGTTCTGCTCAGCACCGAATCTCAGGATCTCAGAGGACCTGCGTGCTATGAAGACTGACTGACTGACTTTCCAAAAACTCAGCATCAGTCATTAAGAATGTGATTTTAATGGTACAGATGTTTCATTGAAAATACGCACATAAGAACTCTGCTTTTTCAGCCACTCTTCATTCAACAGTCTTCAGTTCATTTTTCCATAAACTGGCTCAGTCTTCTTTGGCTCTCAACATGGCCCTGTGGGCAGTATTGGCATGACTGATGGGCAACCCATCGTCAAGCAGAGAGATGAAACAAGCTGTGTTTCCACCAAAGCCCCCCTTGCACTCAACCTCGCTCTGTCCCCCACTGTCAGGTTAAATGTCCTAAAGACACCTCCAATCCACAGCTCAGATGATTAATGATAACTCACCAGTTCACAACAACTCAAGTAACTCAACTGGCTGCCACAGCAACAACTAATATAAATAATTTGACATTATTTTGTTAAATAGTTATAAGGAGGTGGAGCAAACCCTAAGAAAAACAGATTAGTTTCAAGATGTGTGAATCTGAGGAATCTGGAAAATGCCCCATTTATGCCAGTCCATCAAAGATACATCTGTTTGTCTGAGCAAGAGGTTTTTATCTCTGAGTTTTACAGTGAGGTTGGGTTTGTTCTGTTATTGTCTGTTAATTGTAATTGTAGTACTGGGACACCAGCCCACATCCTTTACCACTTACAGGCCCTTGGGAACAGCTGTTCCTCCTTCTAGCTTCAGCCAACTAAGTTGTGTTTCCAACTATTCTTGAAAAAAAAACACAAAAAAAAAACCCAAAAAGAAGACAGCAAGCAACTCACTATCACATGTCAGAGATAACTCACTATGAACTGCTTGGACAACAGATGTTAAACGGAAAACAAAGTCATTA